GTCTGCGACTTGATTTGCAGTTGGCCATCTGGGAGTCCGGAGTCACCCACCACACCACCTGCTGGCCCCTATGTACTACATTTTTTAAATCCATTTATCGGTTGATGGACATGTGGGTTGTTTTCCACATTTTGACTATTATAAGTAACGTTGATGAGAACATTTGTGTACAAGTTTCTGTATGGACATAAGTTTTTATTTCTTTTGGATATGTAGTGTAATTCCTAGGTCATACGATACCCGTATTTCTCTTTTAGAATCATTTCACATTCCTACCAGCAGTGTGTGAGGGTTTCAGTTTTTGTAACCCCTTACTAACACGTAATACTATTGTCATTTTGACTATGGCCGTTCTGGTAGCCGTGCAGTGCTATCTTATTAAGGTTTTGACTTTCATTTCCCTCATGACTAAGTATGTTAAACATCTTTCTGTGATGATTGACCTTTTGGTTTCTTTGGCAAAATGTCTGCTGTAATTCTTTGTTTTTTTTCTTTTATAAAAAATTATTTATTTAATTTTATGTATTCATTCAGTCATTTTTATTTGATCAGAGAAAGATAGGCACACAGAATGAAGGAAAATGAGAAAGCAAGCCACCAGGTCCAAGACATGAACCATGGTCAGCCATGTGGGAGTGTCCAGTGCCTTAACCACCATGCCTGCCTGGTTTTTTAGTTGGGTTGTTTTTCATTTTGGTATTGAATTGTACATATTCTTTATATAGTTTAGATACAAATCCCTTATAAGTATGATTGAAAATATTTTCTATTGCATGGGTTGTCTTTTCACTTCCTTCAAAGTGTCCTTTGAAACACAAGTTTTACATTTTGATAAAGTCCAATTTATTTTTTCTTTTGTCACTTATGCCTTTGATGTCTTTGTTCCAATAGTATTCTCTGACACCAGCTAGGTGTCCTCCAACTCAGTTCGGTTCTGACAGTATCCTGAGTTAGTGTCAGATCCCATATATATGAGAGGGCAGTATCCCCATTAAGACTGCCCTTGATTCAGAAACCAGCTACAAGTGGGGTCCTCAGGCTACCCTCACTTTCCACTGCCAGCTACAAATTCAGGACGTCCCACAGTCCCCCACAATTGATAAGACTAGAATGAGTCATCTAATTCCCTGAAAGCACTGTACTGTCATTACAGAGGATACAACTCAGGAACAGCCAAATGGAAGGGACATTTGGGCAAGGTCTGTGGGCAGAGCAAAGGTGTAGCTGTGCTCATTATCCTCCTGGCACAGTGATTTATTCATCAGACAAACGACGCAGCTCTACTGAGCATCAGTTCATAGGGTTTCTTCTGGGGTTTTTATATACCAGTGCGATTGATTAAATTATTGCCCACATGATTACATTCGATCTCAAGCCTTCCTCCCTTTCCAGGAAGTTGGTCTAATATAAAATTCAAATCCTCGGGGACCAACAGGTGGCACTGTGCTTAAGGCACTGGACACTCCCACATGGCCCACCATAGTTTGAGTCCTGGACCTGGTAGCTTGCTTTCTCACTTTCCCTCTTTCTCTCTCTGTGCCTCTCCCTGGTCAAATTAAAATAAAGGAAATGAATAAATAAAATTAAATAATTTTTAAAATTTTCAAATCCTCAAATCACATGATTGGTTTTTTTGGTGACTAGCCCTCATCCTAGAGGCCTGCAGTGAGTCATCACATTAGCCTAAGACACTCCTATCACCTGGGAAATTCCAGGGGTTTTTGAAACTCTCTAAGAGGAACCATGTATGACTAAATAATAGTATACCACGATGTCATATCAATGAGACAGTTTTAAAGAGAGTAGCTTGGAACATGCCACTATTCTGTTTCCTGTCACCTTAAAAATTTGACAACAGGGGCAGCAGGTGGCATGGCAGTTAAGGAACTGGGTCCCACATGGCCCACTACACAGATCAAGTCTTAGGCCCAGTAGCTTGAAAAAACATGCTGGCCGCTTGTGTGTGTGTGCTCATAATTCCAAGAGGAGAATGGAAGAGAAGGGATTGCAGTGTAGCCACCCCCAATGTGATTTCTGGAGGTTTGGGGCACACATGCATACATGCCTGGGATGATTTTCAAACCGCCAGGTCCAGGACTCCAGACATACAGCTGGTTAAGGTGCTGTGGGATCCAGCACCTTAACCTCCACACCCCTGAGGGCCCCAGGGAACTTCCTCACTTGCCTTATCATTCAGTCTCCATCAAAGCTGTCCTCACCCACTCCCCTGAGCCTTACAGGGTGAGAGAGTATCCCACTGTTAGGAGCCCAGTCTCAGCCTGGAAGCGCCCACGCTTGCTGTCCTGCTTCTGGTGGGAACTTTACTCTCACTTAGCTCTTTTCTCTGCTGTGTCTTCTGTTCTCCTAATGGAATCTCAGCCTCAACCTCCCACTGAGAAAGGTAAGACGGTTTTCCTCTAGGTCCCACCCTCCTCCTGCCTTCCATCCTGGTGTATGTTAATAACTCTGCTTCTGGAAAAGAGCAGGTGGCCTGTGATGTGTCTTCCTCACTGCATACCCTACCACACCGTGTCGAGCTGCTGCTTGCACCTGTCTGCTACCACTGCTCTCCTGCTTGCTCCTGTGTGCCCAGCCAGTGGCCACTTTGCAGACTCCATTTACGTGATCTCTGAGCATTTGCTCCTTGGGATCCCTTCCTTGTGCTCCATGGTACCCCTGTCCCCTGGTTTTCTTCACTCTGTGTGCCCCTCCTTTTCTCTTTCCTTAAAGAGCCCTTCTCTCTAGCTCCTAGTCATAAATATTCACCAGGATGCCATCCTGTCTAAACATGCTCACATGTGTATCATCTCCGAAGCAAAACTCGTACCCCGTGTTCCTCTTTGGGCTACTGCCTTATCTGTCAGCATGTCTCTGCAGCTATGCCAGTGCACTCAGACGTTTTTTGTTTTTTTTCTAGAAAGAGCAGGATTTCAAAAGCTCTTTTTGTGATGATTTTTCCAAACTTACCAGTTTTGTACTTTGCTTTCTCTATATAAGACTTCCTTCTGGATTATCAAGCTGGCACTGTTTGACCTGCTCTTACTCAGTACTCTCTCACAGCACCTACAGTTTGCCTCGTATTTCTGCTCCCCAAATGAATGTGATTTTCATAAGAGCAGGAATACAAAACTTTTTGGTCTTTTTAGTAGATCAGAAATGTCCTTTGTGTCTCTCATGGTGTGTATTCAGTCGATGCTTGTTGAGGGTTTTAGTTGACTGTGCTGTAGGGTGTCTGTCCCGGGCAGAGACCCCAGCACTGTAGTCGACAAGGGTAGGCTGGAGGCTTTACAAGCAGCTACACCACAGTAAGAGCCACTGTGGACTGATGCCCGGTGATGGTTGTGGTTGCCCTGGAGGAGGGCAAAGATGGGTGTTGTTGCCAGGTCTCCGGTTCTAGCAGACAAGGGAAGGAGGATTGAGAGATTACAGGTGACGTAAACCATAAGTAAGCATGCTTGGTAGGTTGGTACAAGGACCTGAACAGTAAGGGTACATTTATGACACTGGAAGAAATTGAAAGTAGGGTAGTTCAGGTAGCTCAAAGATATCAGAGACTCGGGGTCTCTCCATTTTCTTTGCTCTGCCTCTTCTCTATTGCCTGGATTTTTAAATCACCTCCCTCGTTGAGCCTCAAGATGGTTGCTATCACTCCAGGAGTCACTTGCATGTGAAAAGGTCTCTAGGCTGAAGAGGGAGCATTCCTTTTCTTTTATTGTTATTATTTGTTTGTTTATTTGCCATAGCATGCATGTGCTCACCAGAGAGAGACAGAGGGAAAGTGAGAAATCACCCCTCCCCACCACTGGCGGGTGGGGGAGATGGCTATGCCCAGTCCCTTCTCCTGTTGGGATTTTTGGGGGTGCATGCACGTACACCTGGCGTGATTTTCAAGCTGCTGGATCTGAGGCTCTAATTATGGTTAGCCATGTGGGTATCCAGTGCCTTAACCACCACACCATCTGCTGGCCTCGGGATTATTCCTTCAGGAGCCTGAGTCCCCTTGTAAAAATGAAGAAAGCTTTAAAAGTATTCTCAGCACATGTGTGCTTCACACTGGACAGAGCTGTGTCACGTGCCTGGTGCCTGTAGCGACTGTGGTGACGGCCTGGGTCTGGCAACAGCGTCATCACCTGGAAGTTCGTGATGAGTCCACGAGCTTTGGCCTCACCCAGACCTGCTGAATTATGAAAAGTCGCAGTTGGAGGGAGGAAAGGGGGCACTAGTCTGTTTCTTGGGTAGTACTTCAAGTCATTTTGATGCACATGGTTTGAGAACCTCCAGCTTTGACTAGTAGAGATTCGTTTCTTGGAGGGGCCAGACAACAGCAGCAGTAAATGCCATACTCTGTGAGCTGATCCCACATGGGAAGGTTCCCAGTTGAAGTTCAGAGGCCTTCCTGAGTATCTGGGGCCAGCTGAAGGCCTGCGATAGATCACCGCATGGAAACCCAAGTAGGGCTCTCTCTGCCCCTCCTCTTCTCCCTCAGGGTCATGGCATGCCTGTCGGCCATCATCTAGTTCAGTTGTTTGCTTTGAACGATTTTGAGTTTCCTTAGATAATAAAAACATGAATCCAAAGCAAAAACATTTTTAAAATACAAGTAAGTTATCACTAGTCATCATTTCTGGGTAGTCGGGTGTAGGTATTTTTTTCCCCTTTACCTTTTCTAATTTTTCTTTAGGGTATTAATACTGATTTTTGGACCAAGAGAAAAACATTGAGCTTAGGATTTTTATTATTATTATCTTTATTTTATTTTATTTGCTGTGGTCATCAGAGGAAGAGGGAAGGTAAGAAAGCAGGTTGCTAGGTTCAGGACTTGAACCATAATTGGCCAAGTGGGGGTCCAACGCCCCAAACACTATGCCACCTCCTAGTCCAAGAGCTATTTTTTAATTAAAAGATTTTATAAAAGATGTCAGGAAGTGTAGATTAATACTGTTTTCTTTTTTATAATTTTATTATATCTTCTAGTTATAGTCCATTGTGCTTTTTGATAGGTTTCCTAAAAGACAGGAAGATGGAGGACTCTGTCAACCAAATGCAACCACTGAATGAGAAGCAAATAGCCAATTCTGAGGATGGCTGCGTGTGGCAAGTCACCGACATGAACAGACTCCACCGGTTCTTGTGCTTCGGTTCTGAGGGCGGGACTTACTACATCAAAGAGCAGAAGCTGGGCCTAGAAAATGCTGAGGCTTTGCTTAGGCTGATCGAAGACGGGCGAGGATGCGAAGTGATCCAGGAAATAAGGTCGTTCAGTCAGGAAGGCAGAGCCGCGAAGCAGGAGCCCACGCTCTTCGCCCTTGCCATCTGCTCCCAGTGCTCCGACATAAGCACAAAGCAGGCAGCGTTTAAGGCCGTGTCTGAAGTTTGCCGCACCCCCACACATCTCTTCACTTTTATCCAGTTTAAGAAAGATCTGAAGGAAAGCATGAAGTGTGGCATGTGGGGCCGTGCCCTCCGGAAGGCCGTAGCAGACTGGTATAATGACAAAGGTGGCATGGCCCTTGCTCTGGCAGTCACAAAATACAAACAGAGGAATGGCTGGTCTCACAAAGATCTGTTACGATTGTCGCATCTTAGACCTTCCAGTGAAGGTAAGCATGAGCACCTCAGTGGGCAGGGCTGGGGAGGTGGAGACAGCCAGTAAAGCTTAAGCTTTTATTTAACCTAAGACAGTTACATATTTTCTAGAAATAACTTTTTCTTCCTCGGAACATAAGGTCAACCTGGAATTAAACACCTACCATAGGCAATCTATATATTAATAATCAGAAATCAAATAACAGATTTAGATTCTAATATTCTAAATTTTTTTAAAATTTTTATCTATTATTTTTAAGAATTGTTTATTTAATTTTATTTATTCATTCATTTATTTTAATTTGGCCAGAGAGAGACAGGAGGGAGAGAGAGGGAAAGTGAGAAAGCAAGCCACTTGGTCCAGAACTCAAACCATGGTTGGCCTTATGGGAGTGTCCAACACCTTATGCCACATGCTGGCCCCTTCTTCTTATTAAAGTCTCACAGGTTGACTGTCCATATCCTAAATGCTCGGGTCCCAAAGTGTTTCAGATTAAAGTGACACAGGTTGAATATCCCTTATCCGAAATGCTTAGGTCCAGAAATATTTTGGATTTCAGACTTTTGCAATATTTGCATGCACATAATGAGCTGGCTTTGAGATGGGACCTAAGTATAAACAGAAAAGTCATTTGTTTCATTTACGCTTCATAAACATGACCTGACAGTAATTTTTTTTTCCTTAATTTTTGCCATATGGCACATGTTCTTGGGAGAGAGACAGGCAGAGAAGGAAAATGAGAAATCACCTCCTGGGGGGTTGTCTACACTACAGTCCCTTCTCCATTGTTTTCTCAGGATTTTAGGCATGCACATATGCATGTGCGCTCAAGCCTGGCATGATTTTCAATACACCAGGTGCAGGACTTGAACTTTGCTGTCGGCAGTGTGGGATCCAGCACTTTAATCACCCTGCCACCTGCTGGCCCAGCCTGAAGGTAATTTTATGTAGTGTTTTTGAGAGAGACACAGAGTGCGAGAGAGGGAAAGCATTATTGCTTTTTTTTAAAAGCAAGGATCTCACTGTGGTCATCCTTTTGCCGTAGCATCCCAGCTGGGAAAGCAGGGGGGCATCACCGCCTTGGCTCCTTTCTTTCAGACAGGGTGTTGATTTTTGTGGGTGTTTATACTAAATTATTCCTGCCTAATAGAATGCTTTATTTCTCTCTTAAAGAGTAGATCTTTAAGGTTAGCTTCAAGTTCACAATGCCCCACCTCCTCAAGTCACTGAGACCACACAGGTGCACGCCACCACACCTGACCCAAAGACTGGCCCAGAAACGGAATCCAGGCCTGACAAGTGGTCCCAGCCCCTGGGACAGCGTCTCAGCAGCACGTGCCCTGCACTGGGCCGGTATTGCCGGGGTTTGACTGCAGGTAGTCATATGAGGCTAGGTATGGGATTTTCTTTCTTTTTTTTAAAGAGTTACTTTTAATTTAATTTTTATTTTTATTCATTTATTTTTTAATTTGACTTGAGAGAAAGTGAGAAAGCAAGTTGTCAGGTCTGGGTCTCAAACAGTGGTCAACTGTGTGGGAGGTCCAGTGCCTTCGCCACCACGCCTCCTGCTGGTCCCCAGGTGTGGAATCTTCTACCTGCAGCATCATTGACACTCAGAAGTTTCAGATTTTGAAATCCGAAAGTGGTGTGCCACCTGTGGTCAGTGAAACCGCTCCCAGCAAGTAGGTGGCAGATGGCCAGGCCGTACCGCTCTAGTTTCGTATTTTCCTTCCTTCCCTGTCTTCCTAGGAAATGTGGTCCATGGAACCTAAGGTCACCTGAAATAGTGCTGAACTTAACAATGCAGGATGTTAATTGTCTTTAGGCAGGCGGCCTGGGAGACCTGGTAAATTGGGGCAGTTTTTCTATAACTATGGGAAGAAACTTGTTTTTGTTTTTTGGTGTTTTTTTTTTTTTTTTTTTTTTAATAGAGATTTTTGCTATAGGGTGCTTGTGCTCACCAGAGAGACAGAAAGTGAGAAATCACCCCCCGGGGAGCATGGCCACACTGCAATCCCTTCTCCATTCTCCTCTTGGGATTTTGGGTACACCATTATGCATATGCTCCTGGTGTGAATTTTAAACCACCTGGTTGGGCACTCAAACTGGTCAATTACATGGGACTCCACCAACATAACCATTATGCCATCTGCTTGTCCTAGGAAGAAACTTTTGAGAGGGTTGTTGGATCTAGTCTTTCAGACAGAAATAAGGCATACTATTAGGTAGGAGTAATTTAGTATAAACTTCCACAAAAATCAACATGTCCAGCATTTGACTTTTTTTTTTTTTTTTTTTTTTTTAGTACCAGAAATGAAACTAGAAAAGCGAGTCCTTCAGATAGGTTCAATTTCAGTTCTGCTTATTACGTCTTGGTTTTAAGCCAATTAACTGATTCTTTCTGAGCTTTTGTACCTTTATTTACTAAAAAAGGGGGGAAGGGAATAACCCTTAGCATTATCAGGACTGAAAGTGATAGCATATTATTTAGCGCATGCAGTTCCTGGCATGTCATAGGAATTGTCTCTTGGCCTCCCATCCCCCGCCCCTTACTTATAAACAGGTTGAGCATCCCTAATGTGAAATCCCACTTTCTCTGAAATCTGAAACTTTTTAATTAATCATCAATGTGGAAAATTCTACCTATGACCTATGTGCTGGTTCTTAGTTAAAATACTGCAGTATTGGCTCAGACAGGGTGGCGTGTGTTGCCGAGGCCCTGCTGCTCTGCAAGCTGGGACCAACTGGGAGACCCAAGCTCAGTTCCTGCAACCGTAAGTCCAGTGTGCCATGTGCCTATGGTCCCAGTGCCTTGGGAAGAGGTGAGGGGCTTGTGAGCTTCAGGCTAGCCCAGGATATATAACAAGACCCTGTCTTTAAAAAAAAAAAAAAGAAAGCCAGGTAAGGTGCACCTGTCTGTAGTCCCAGCTAGGAGGGTGAGACAGGATTGCTCCAGTTGGCCTGAAACAGTCAGGCACATGCCTGGATCCTGTCTGGCTGAGGGCTTCTGGGGAGATCACAGAGCACTGACACCTGTGTTACGAGACCCTGCCAAGGGCTCCTCTTCCTTGCTCTTTCTCATGAAAGAAATAAAATAAATTTTAAAAACATTTTTCAGGAAGGAGTCTACCTGTCCACTTCCACTTACCTCTGTATTCACAAATGCAGCTCAGCAGCCTGTTCATCAGCAGGCTGTGAATATATAATAGTGGATGTAGGAGAGGGTCTTCAGAAGTTCATAGAAAATACATGTTCTGAAAACACTACGCGTGGATTTCAATTTTTTTTGTACCAAAATAAACTCAAGCTTTAATTTCATTTTCCCACAAACTTTTTGAAGTTCCCTCGTATCCATACTCGAGAGTGCTGAGATTCTGGACCTGAAGAGGGCACTGTCTGCCATAAGTTTCTAATGGTGACATCTCAAAAGAAAAAAAAAGACTCTGTAGTAAAATTACTTGGGCTATAGGAGGGTTTTCCCCCCCGTAAAGTCCCATATCTAAGTAGTAGTGATGGGATAAGCAAAAATAATTTGCTTAAATGCATGTATTATGTCACAGAAAAAGCATCCCAGGTTACAGGTGTCAACTCCTGTGTATCTAGCTAGGCCTATGGTATGATGTGTTCCCAGGAAGCTTGTTCTGATTTTTGCTTGGTAATCAGCATGCCTTTTCAATTTTCTGTCTTTTTAAAGGACTTGCTGTTGTGACCAAATATATTACAAAGGGCTGGAAAGAAGTTCACGAATTATATAAAGAAAAAGCACTTTCTGCAGAGACAGAAAGATTATTAAAGTATCTGGAGGCTGTAGAGAAAGTGAAACGCACAAAAGATGAACTGGAAGTCATTCATCTAATAGAAGAGCACAGATTAGTTAGGGAACATCTTCTAACCAATCATTTAAAGTCTAAAGAGGTGAGTAAATTATCTAATTCTCCATTCTTTTCTTCTTATTTAATTTTATTTATTATTATTTTAAAATTTGATCAGAGAGAGAGGGAAAGTGAGAAAACAAGTTGCCAGGTCCGGGACTCAGACTGCAGTTGGCTATGTGGGAGTCCAGCACCACAACCACCACACTGCCAGCTGCTGGTACCCTCTTAATTCTTTTTAAAAGAGAAGTTAGCCAAAATATACCTTGAAATTTGTATTTATTTAAACATTTAGCATGATATTCAGGTATAAGTGGCATCTAGTGTTAATTCCATCCCAGAAAATACTAGGAAACTTTGAAAAGTTTGTGGTAAAACAGAATTAAAGTATGAGTTTAGTTTGATGCAAAAATTTTTTGAAATACATGCTTTTTTTTTTGCTTTCTTTTTTTTTTTTTTTGAGAGAGATTTTTGCGATAGTGCATGTGTGCTTGCTAGAGAGAGAGAGAGAGAGACAGAAAGTGAGAAATCACCCTCCAGGGGGATGGCCATGCCACAATCCCTTTTCCTTTGTTCTTTTGGGATTTTGGGCACACACACACACGCACCCCAGTGTGAGTTTTATGCCACCAGGTCTGGGTTTGGAATTGCGGTCAACTACGTGGGAGTCCCGCAGCATAACCATTATGTCATCTGCTGGTCCAACAAAGGTGTTTTTTTTTCAATATGCATTTTCTGTGAACTTTTTGAAGATTCCTGTCCCCCATACACTATCATACTAATTAAGAAAAGAAGAAGAAGAAAAATCTGTATATCTCGTTTATAAACTATACTTCGCTCCAGACTGGCCCTGTAGTCTAGTGTTTAAAGAAACCGTATCCCACTTAGCCGGATTTAGTTTGAAACCCAGCACCAGCTGCTTGAAAACCATGCCGGGCTTATGTGCACGGAGGCCCAGAATCCTAATAAGATGGAGAAATGGAGAAGGATTATGAGTTGACCACACCCCACTGGGGAGCGCTTTCTCTCACTTTCTTTGTCTCTCCAACGAGCACCTGTACCTTCTGGCAATAAAAAAAGGAAAAGAAAAGAATAAAATATACTTCTTTATGATAGTAAAGAACAAGTTCACTTATTTGATAAGCCTTTGAGCAAATTAAGATAGACTTTTAATTTTGTACTCTGAACCCCAAATGAAAGCCTTAGTGCATGTATTATGAATGTTGTTACCGATATAGCTGTTATACTGACTTATTCCCATTTAATTCCATACGTTTCTGTCTGTATTACACTATAGGTGTGGAAGGCTTTGTTACAAGAAATGCCCCTTACTGCATTGTTGAGGAACCTAGGAAAGATGACTGCTAATTCAGTGCTTGAGCCAGGAAATTCTGAAGTATCTCTAGTATGTGAAAAACTCTGCAATGAAAAACTGTTAAAAAAGGTAAGAGTTATTAGTGCCCCTTATTAGCTTCTACTAACAAAAAGAGTTAACTCCTAACTTTTGGAAATGCAGTCAGCATAGAGGCTTTTTTTGGTCTTCTGAGACCTTTACCATGCCAAATTGCATTTTGACTCTTTTTTTTGGGAGAGGTTTTCACTATAGGGCGCGTGCACTCGCCAGACAGAGAGAGACATAGAGACAGAAAGCGAGAAATCACCCCCCAGGGGGGATGGTCACGCCGCAGTCCCTTTTCCTCCATTCTCCTCTCGGGATCTTGGGCACGAACGCACATGCGCCCCCCATGAGTTTTAAGCCACCGGGTCCAGGACGCGAACCACGGTCGACTACGTGGGAGTCCAGCGACATAGCCATTACGCTAACTGCTGGTTCCCGCATTTTGACTCTTGAATCTAAGATGAATACATCCTTATTTTTCTCCTTCCTTTATGAAATGTATTTATTATTTACGATAACATAAACATCTAAGATGCACAGTTACTATTTTTTGCTTGGATATTGAATTTACTTTCTGGTTTTGTTCTGTTCCTAGGCTCGTATACATCCATTTCATGTTCTAATTGCGATAGAAACTTACAAAACAGGTCATGGGCTCAGAGGAAAACTGAAGTGGCGTCCTGATGAAGAAATCTTGAAAGCGTTAGATGCTGCTTTTTATAAAACATTTAAGGTAATGGTTTTGAGTTTCATTTCCAAACAAATGACTCAGGGTTAATATTTTGTTAAAACACATTTTGTATGCATCCACTTTATTAAGCCAACTATCTGCACTCTGTGGTAGAGATTGAAATACTAGAGGGCATAAAAGCAGTGAGAATAATTAGGGATGTTGAAGACAGTGTGGAACAGGGTAGAGGGGGAGTAGGGAAGAGTATAGAGAAGGATAGCACAAGAACAAATAGAGAGGTATGACGTTTGTGAGACACAGAAGTGGTTTGTTACCTTTGATGATAACATTTATAGTATTCTCAACTGGACTGGTCTGAGAAGTATTTTATTCTGGGTAAACTTTTTTTACAAGCCAAATGATACATAGTTATTGAATGCTTAAAAAATAATAATGAGAATAAATAATAGTAATTATAATCTGGGGGAAAGAAGAGTAATTTTTAGGGCTGGCCCTGTAGCCTAGTAATTAAGAAACCAGGTCTCATATGGCTTCCCACAGTTCAAATCTCAGCCCCAGCAACTTGAAAAACACACCAGATACCTGTTCTTGTATGCCCCAAATATGTTTGTTCCCTGGAATCACTCTTCTTGTCAGATAGTTGCCTTAGTTTTGGGGCCAGCAGGTGGCATGGTGGTTGAAGGCACTGGACTGCCATATGGCTGACTGTGGTTCAAGTCCTGGACCTGGTGGCTTGCTTTCTCACTTTCTCTTGTTCTCTGTCTCAATAAATTAGGAATGGGACCTAGCAGCTTGCTTTCTCACTTTCTCTCTCTCTCTCACTCTCTCACTCTCTCACTCTCTCACTCTGTCCCTCTCTGGGCAAATTTAAATAAATAAGTAAAGTTCAATAAAATAATTCTTTAAAGGAAAAAAAATGAGCAGAGCCAACCCCATTGCCTCATGGTTCGGGGAAATGACTCTTATGTGGCTGGCTGCAGTTTGAGCCCGGCCTGGCAAATTAACGCACTGGGCATGTGTGTGTGTCTGAGCCCAAAAATCCTGGTTAGATAGAGGGATGTAGAGGGAGTATTGCGGTGTGATCACACCACACTGGGGAAAACACCCCCCCACCCCATCTCTGGTGAGTGCATATGCCCTCTGGCAATTAAAAAAAATGAGAGAGAGAGAGGGGGAGAGAATGAAAATGAGCAAAGTACTTGAATAGGAGCCAGCAGGTGGCATGGTGGTTAAGAGTGCTGGACTGCCTCATGGCTGACCATGGTTTGAGACCCAGACCTGGTGGCTTGCTTTCTCACTTTCCCTCTCTCTCTCTCTTCCTGTCTCTCATTCTGTCCCTCTTTGGTCAATTTTTAAAAAAATAATAATAAGTAAATAAAGTTAAATAAAATAATTCTGTTTTTTTTTTTTTTTTAAAGTACTTGAAGAGACATTTTTTTTCCACAATATACAGGTGGACCAATAAATACATGAAAAGATCATTACTCATTAGGAAGTGCAAAAAGAGAGCAGAATGAGATTGTACTTTTTAACTAGTTGGATGGCAATGTCAACCACCCACCCCTCCTAAGAAAATTAGTAGAAAATAGCAAGTGCTGAGAACAACGTGGAGAAATTAGAAATCTAGGAAAAACTGGAACTCTAGCTTAATGGTCGCTGGAATGTAAAATAACGTAACCCCTGTGGAAAACAGTTGGGCCATTCTCAAAAAGCCAAATACACGATCGTGGTACCATGTGACAATTCCACCCCCATGTTTATACCCAGAGGATTTGGAAGCAGGTACTCACATACTTGTACACCAGTGTTCACAGCAGTATTTTCACTGCAGCCAGAAGGTAGAAAATAACCCGGGTGTCCATCAGCAGATGAATAAACAATGTGATTTATACATACCAGGGAGTAGAATTTAGCCTTACAAAGGAATACAATTGGATACTTACTACAACATGGATAAACCTGGGAAACATCATGCTAAGTAAAATAAGCCAGACATGAAAGGCAAGTGCTAGATGATCCCTTTACAGGATGTAGATTACAGAGACAGAAGGGTTAATGTGAAGGATATTCCCAAAGCTCATGGAAAATGCATCCTGTGGGAAAAACTGCATGGATTTCGAAATGTTTTCCCCCTGAAATAAATTTGTATGTCAATTCCATTTTTCCAGGAACTTTTATAAGTCCCCTTGTAGAAGTTGCTGGGGTCTAGGGAAGCTGGCATGGGGAGTTACTGCTTAATGGTATAAAGTTCCTATTTGGATAATAAAAAAGCTCTGGAAATGGAAGTTAATGTTTACACAGTGCAAATATAGTTTTTGTCACTGAATTGTGTCCTTAAAATAATTTTATAAGGGACCAATTGGTGGCATGGTAGATAAGGTGGCTGGTTCCCACATGGCCTACTTGGCAGTTTGAGTCCTGGACCTGGTAACTTGAAAAATAATGCTGGGGGGACCAGCAGATGGCGTAATGGTTACGTTGCTTGACTCCCAGTTAGTTAACTGTGGTTCGAGTCTGGAGGCCGGGCACTTGTGTGTGCCCAAAATCCCAAGAGGAGACTGAAGGAGAAGGGATTATGATGTAGCCATTCCCCCTAGGGGTTGATTTCTCGCTTTCTGTCTCTCTGTCTCTCCAATGAGCATACACGCCCTATTAAAAAAAATAATAAAAATAGGGACCAGCAAGTGGCATGATGGTTAAGGCACTGGACATTTTCACATGACCGACCACGGTTTGAGTCCCAGACCTAATGGCTTGTCTTCTCTCTCTCTATCTTTCTCTCTCTGTCTGTCTGTCTCTCTCTGGTCAAATAGAAATAAGTGAATGAATAAGTAAAATTAAAATAATTCTTTTAAAAAAAGAAAAAAATAATGCTGATGTTTGTGCATGTGTGCCCACCCAGAGGAGAATGGAGGAGGGATTAAAGCATGGCCATCCCCATGGGAGATGCTTTCTCTCTTTATCTGTCTCTTTTGATGAACACATTCACTGTATAGCAAAGTTGTTTTAAATGGTTTTGTTTTTGTTTTTTTCTGGGGAGAGGTTTTTGCTATAGGGTGTGTTGCGCTCGCCAGAAAGACAGAGAGAGACGGAGAGACAGAAAGCAAGAAATCACCCCCCAGGGGGGATGGCCACGCTGCAATCCCTTCTCCATTCTCTTCTCGGGATCTTGGGCACGCACGCACACACGCCTGGTGTGAGTTTAAGCCACTGGGTCCTGGACTCAAACTGCAGTCGACTACGTGGGAGTCCAGTGACATAGCCATTATGCCAACTGCTGGTCCCTTTTTAAATGGTTTTATCAGTAAGCTTTGTTACTTACATTTTACCACAATAAGAAAATTTATTATTATAGAAATTTCTATTTTACCTCTCTGAACAAAGATTTTTAAAAGATGATTATTTAAATTTGTTAAATAGGTTATCTTTCTTTGTTTTACGTTAGTAAGAGCTAAGTATTTTACAGTTTTGTCAGTTAGTTGATATATCAGGGTAAACGGTGGCTGTAGAGGCAAGTCCTGCATTTGCTTCTGGAGAACTCTGTGAACATGTGAAACGCCCATGTGCCCATCCATGATCTGGGGTTGGCTCAGAGATGCAGTACCAAGACCCTTTTGAGGGTGCTGTCTCTTTCTCTCTCGTACATGAAATAAATAACTTTCAAAAAATTACTTAGTGTATAAACATTAAGAAGGGCTTTTATCTGAGTCTTTTGAGTTAAAGATGTTTCTTTTGCTAATATTTCTATGATACGTTTTTTTTTCTTTTTAATTTGCCAAATAGTGTGTATGCTCACCAGAGAAGGAGAAAGTACCTCTCATGGGGAATGGTCGTGTCATGACCGCTTCTCCATTCCTCCATGTTAGGATTCGGGGCAAGCATGCGCACACATGCCAGGTGTGTTTTCCAAGCTGCCAGGTCCAGACTCAAACCCTCCAGTCAGCCTGTGGGATCCAGCTCTCTTAACCAGCAGGCTCTCTCTGATTGCTTTTACTGACTGTTTTATCTTGTTTTCTCTCTAGACTGTCGAGCCAACTGGAAAGCGTTTCGTGCTGGCTGTTGATGTCAGTGCTTCTATGAACCAAAGAGTTCTGGGTAGCGTGCTCAACGCTAGTACAGTGGCCGCGGCGATGTGCATGGTGAGCCACCTGAGACTAGAACTCTGCCACTCTCACCGGACCTCTGACTGTAATTCCATATGTTCTCACTGGGTTTAGTTTTCAGCTAATTTGGCACATTTTTCATCTTCTAATTAATTTTATAAAGCACTTTTAAGTATATTGGAAGAGGATTTCTAAAGAATAGAATAGAAATATTAATATTTACTACAAAAGATTAACTATTAATATACTCCTGAAGATGTAGATAGTGCTTAGAAAGAATATTTAATTATATAGAAGTTAAGAGGTAAGGGACTGACTAATAATAAAAGCCGGAAGACTTTATTTCTAGCCTGACTCTGTACTGAATACCAAGATGGATCACAGGCAACCTTGTTAGCTTCTCTTCTGTGACTTTATTGCTAACCTAATTAAGCAAGAAGGATATATATTTGATATTACTCCAAAAGATTGTTGTGAAAACTAGTGTCTTTATGAGTTTCTGAAAATAGTTTAAAGCGGTAAACATCATAGTGGTTTTTTTTTTTTTTTTAAGATTGAAATTGTATAAACATCAAGATACTGTCTCTCTTTACCCCAAATCTGCTGAAAATGACTACCATTGAATTTTTCAGGTTGTCACACGAACAGAAAAAGATTCTTACGTAGTTGCTTTTTCAGATGAAATGGTACCATGTCCAGTGACTACAGACATGACCTTACAGCAGGTTCTAATGGCTATGAATCAGGTAATAAACTGTTCTATTAACATGTGTCATATATTAATTTGACATTGCTACCATGTATGGTACTAATTTGAAGAACATGCATTGAGGCCTAAATGTACATATCATGAGAAGCATATGGCAAGGCCTATATGCTGACTCTAAATAAAACATACAATGTGAAAAATATTATTTTGGACTACCCGTGATGTGGTGGTTCAAGTCCCAGACCCAGCGGCCTGAAAGACGTCCCAGGCACATGTTTGTGCATGTCCAGGATCCTGACGAGAAAGAAATGGGGAAGGGATTGCGGCGAGACTGTCCCTCACAGGAGGGCTTCCTCCTGCATGCACATGCATTCCCTCTCTCTCCAGCAAGCAAATTTTTAAATAGTTTTTTTTAAGTACTTAAGTATTTCCAACACCTCATTATGGACACTTGTGCAACTTCATTTCATTTTTGTTCTGATTAGATCCCAGCAGGTGGAACTGATTGCTCTCTGCCAATGATCTGGGCTCAGAAGACACACACGGCTGCTGAGGTCTTCATAGTGTTCACTGATAATGAGACCTTTGCTGGAAGTGTCCACCCTGCTGTTGCTCTGAGGGAGTATCGAAAGGTAAAGCAAACTTATACTGTGCCTCACCCGGATAGTACTCACCTATCATGCACTGTGCTCTTCAGAAAATGCTGCTGAGGATAGTTCTGTAGGTTTGTGTCAGAAAGCTATGTCAGTTATGGATGCAGCAGTACTTGTAATGAGAAAAACTACTGGTTACTCATACATAATTTATTTTTAATCAGTTCTAGTGCTACACATTACTAAAAATATCCTTTGCAAACAATATTTGCAGAATATTTTATCTTAGCTGTACATTTTAAAAATAATTCAGTGTATTCTTTGAAAAATCTAAGGTATCATTTGTGAGTTTTGTTAAAGGACAACATAAAGTTAAAGCAAAGCTACAATCTGTGTTCTGATTTTTAGGAATGTATGTATATTTTAATCAGTGTCCTCCAATCCAACTTTCTAGAATGTCATAAATTCTGTTTCTGCACTCAGCATTGTAGCTGCTAATCCGTCACATGAATGGTTGAGCACTTGAAATGCGTGTAGTGCAACTAGAAGTACAAATAGAGCGTGTCAATGAAGAACAGTGGTTCTCAAAGTGTAATTTCTCTACCAGCAGCCTTAGCATCACCTGGGATCTCACTAGAAATACGACTTTCGGGGCCAGGAGGTGGTGTAGTGGTTATGGCGCTGGACTCTCAAATGGCCAACTGCAGTTCTAGTTCTGGACTTGGCAGCTTGAAAATCATGCTGGGGGTGTGTGTATGTGTATCCAGAATCCTAGGAGGAGAATAGAGGAGAAGAGATTGTGGTGTGGCCATCCCTCTAGGGGACAATTTCTCATTTCCTCTTTTACTGTGTCTCTCCTGCACACACACACACCCAATGGCAAAAACTTGAAGAAAAAAAAAAAGGAAATGCACCTTCTTTCTGGGCCTACTAGAGAGACCTGCTAAATCAGAAATTTTAACAAACCTCTAGGGGATTACAATGCATGTTTAAATTGAAAGCCAGAGGTGAGGGAATAAAATTTGGATTAAAAACAGCTTTCATTCTGGATCTTTGACCAGCTGTGGATCTGAACAAGTTATTTAACTGATACACATCATAATAGCAGTAGTACTGTCATTTGGGATTGTTATAACAGATGCACTAAGTGTATTAAAGAGCTCATTGTAATTAATGTCTGGCATAGTATACATGCAGTGATTGTTGGTTTTTGTCAGAAACTAAAGTATTTTAGCCTTCAGTGTAGCTGTAGCAAACAGTCTTGGCATATGCATGTTGAACCTATCAAAGTAGTCGGCAAAGTTTATAGTCCCATAAGATACTTTATATGTACTCGCACATCGTGCCTCAGAGTTTGATACTTGATGAAAATGTCCGGCCCCCCAAATATCCTTATTACTTAAGTACAAAGTCCCTAGGCTACTCCAGAACATACTCTGGGGGCCAGCAGGTGGAGTGGTGCTTAGGGGCACTAGACTCCCACGTGGCCGACTGCCGTTTGAGTCCTGGACCTGGTGGCTTGCTTTCTTTCTGTCTCCCCACTCTGGTCAAATTAAAAAATAATTAAATAAAATTAATAAAATAATTATTAAAAAAAAAAAAGATTTAAAGAATGTACTCCGTAGCCCATAGAACAAGAAAGGGTAGTATAGAGAAGTGGGAATTTCAGGCAGGCCCTTTACACAGTTTCGTTTCGCATTCTTTTAAAACCCACATAAGGGCAGCTTGTTGCATGGTAGTTAAGGCAGCTAGATTCCATGGCTGGCTGTGTGGTTGAGTCCCAGACCCGGCAGCCTGAAAAACACCAGGTACATGTGCGTGCCCAAAATCTCCAGAAGAGGGAACCAGCAGTTAATGTAATGGCTATGTCGCTGGACTCCCACGTAGTCGACCACAGTTCGCGTCCTGGACCCGGTGGCTTAAAACTCACACCGGGCGCGTGTGCGTGCGTGCCTAGGATCCCGAGAGGAGAATGGAGGAGAAGGGATTGCGGCGTGACCATCCCCCCTGGGGAGTGATTTCTCACTTTCTGTCTCTATGTCTCTCTCTGTCTGTCTGGCAACCACACGCGCCCTATAGCGAAAGCCTCTCCAAAAGAAAAAGAAAAAAAAAAAAAATCTCCAGAAGAGAATGGAGAAGGGATTGTAGTGTGGCCATTCTTCCAGGGGATAAATTGCTCATCTTCCCTCTGTCTCTTGTCTCTCTTTGGCAAGTGCACATACCTTATAACAAAAACTGAGAAAATAAAAAATAAACAACTCACATAGCTTGGCTCTAAATGATTGACTAGAAAAAAGGGACACTGGTTTCATAATCAAAAGCTGTAGGAAAAGTATTTAACATTTTTAAATGTTTTAATTTTGGAAGTTTTGACTTTTTTTTTTTGCATATACTCTTAATATGTATTTTGATCTTTTCTTACAGAAAATGGATATTCCAGCTAAATTGGTTGTTTGTGGAATGACATCGAATGGTTTTACCATTGCAGACCCAGACGACAGAGGCATGCTGGATATGTGCGGCTTTGATACTGGAGCTCTGGATGTGATTAGGAATTTCACATTAGACGTGATTTAATCCAAAGCAGCAGCAGCATTATCTAAGAGGTCCGTTGCTAGCATCAGTGATCTCACTAGAACTTCACAGCTACTTCCCAGCTAATCTCGACCCATTGACAGATGATGGTACAGTGTGTGCCTGATGGAAGGTCCCTTACCACTAAAAGAAAGGGAAGGAAGGAAGCATTAGGTGGGCCCAAAGTTCTATCTGCTAAACTGGCTCTTGGGAAATAGCTTCAGGATACTGTAGCTTTCTTTATCTAATAGAGAATTTCTTGTTAATAGACACTAAAACTATTGAACGTGTTTGCTTTGGTGAACAGTACATTTGTACTTAAAAAAAAATTGAGAGCCAAAAGTGTAAGTAGTTCCACATTATGTCACTTGTTTGAGACATGCTTAATGTTTTCTTAAATGTTTCCATTGGGAAAGGACAGTTTTGATTATGTCCAAATACTCTGAAATGCACTAGACCATGTAACTGTGACGGAATATGAAACTCATCTATAAGCTTTTATACCAAGGAGGTGAAAAACTAAGATGTTTGATTAAATTATGAGTGAGTCTTAACAGATTCTTACAGTTTTCTAAGATCACACAAATGATAGCTTTTCTTACTTAATGAAGAAGATATTTTATTTCTGATATTTTATTAGGATCTGTTACCATTAATCAGAGCATAATGGAAATCCCACAAAGAGACTAAGGTTTGTGTTGGCCACGGATTTGTATTAGGCTTGCTTTTTTGCATTGTGTTAGATTTTATTGCCACGCGGGGCTGGAGTGACAGTGATCTCTGAATTGAACATCATAGCCATAGACATAGTGTAGTCACACTTTCTTTTGTTCAGACTCTGAGATTAACATAGCCGAATGGGGACCAGCAGATGGCGTAATGGTTATATTGCTCGAATCCCACATACTTTACCACGGTTCAAATCCTGGACCCAGCGGCTAAAAATTCACGCCAGTGCGCATGTATATGCCCAAGATCCTGAGAGGAGAAGAGAAGGAATTGCAGAGTAGCCATCTCCCTGGGTGGGGATAAGGTTATTAGGTGATTTCTCACTTTCTGTCTGTCTGTGTCCCTCTGGCAAGTGCAAGTGCCAGTGTTTAACTCTCCCATTCGTAATTTTGAAAGTATTAACAGTCTAAATCTCAACTCTAATTAGTTTAGCCTTTTTCTTTTAAAATAAAAATTGTGTTAATTCCTTTTAACAATTTTTTTAGTTAGTTGTAAATGGACTTAGAAATGTCCTGATTGTAAACATGCCAAAAGCTTCCTATCTGTGTCCTTCATTATTCATTTTTGACAAAACATTCCTTTTTGAGGATATGAAATAAATATAAAGGAAGCCAGCTAGGTCCTTCAGGTATGAAAGATCATTTTTGAGTAGCGTATTACCAATTAATAGTCCATAGGACATTTAAAAAAAAATTTGTATGTGTGTATTAAATGTCTTTTCATTATACTGAAGTGCATTATTTTCTTGAGTAAGTAAGTATCCCTTTGTTGTTGGGAGGTTTAGCATTAAAGTGATCTTTCAAAATGCCAATATCTTTGTTTGTAATTGTATCATCATTTGCTAAGATGGCTAATACATTAACCTCCTAGCTGTATGCATTGCTCTTTAAACAAAAATGAAAGATTTACCAAGTTACAGCCCTTCTCACTGTCAAGTGAAGTCAAACTCTAGTAAATGTGTATAAACCCCTTTACTTGTTTGGGGGTTAGAGGTTTTAGGGGAAAGGAGGTCTTCAATAGTGTAAGATTTGTGTGCATATTTTCGTCTGTTGTGTGGGAAATTTGGGCTGTGGGAATGATAAGGAAATGTTCCTTTCAAATTTACTTGACATACCAGCGTCGGTGACATACGTAGCCATTTCAAGGCCATCTGGTACCAGGTTTTGAATGTGATTTCCCTGAGATATTTTCTGGTCAGCAAAGCTAGCAGTGCATACACTTCCCCAGTTCTGATGTTATTCTGGTTGTAACTCTATGAAGCATTGAATTTTTAATGTGTTAGCTACTTTTGATACATTAATATCTTCAGATTGAGCTTAAAGTTTAAAGAACCTTATAGAATTATGTAATAGCTCTTTAATTCTGTAAGTAAAATTAAGGTCTTCTGAAATAAAAAATGGCATCTACCTTTTAATTCTTAATAGAAATATTACATAGAGTATAGTATAAAATTTTATTTTCTTCAATTGTGTTATTTTGAAGTACTTTTAGACAAGTATATTTAGGAGCTAATATTAAATTCTTCAGGGAAACAAGATTCGATGTGACCTTTTGAAATATTTAGGTAGGTCTAATTAAATGGATTAGGGTACGATTTGAGAAAGGAAAACAGAAAGAATTCACCACAGAAGATAACTTTGTCTGCAAATCATAGTATTAAGAGCTGGAAGAGACCTTAGAAACTTAATAGCTAGCTTTTCCGTTTCGTCTAAGACAGTGAGGTTTTAGAACACCAGGACCTAGAAATCGTGGTCTCTTCGTTCCTATTCCAGCCTTGACTTCTCCACAACATGGGAACACTTTGACTCAGAAGAGTAGGGGATGAAATAGAATTATTCGAGACTTTCATCTTACTTAGACTTAGGGAAAAAAATGTACATACATGATTGCCCTAGGAATAGAAAAACAGATTGTGAACATGTGCAATTTTGAAGTTCATAGTAATCCTCAAGCACAATTACAATCGTTTTAATAGCCTGTGTTGCTATATAACATAGTCCTGTAGAAGAAATAACACAGAAACTTGACCTCAGTGTACTCAAGTGAAAAACTCTTATTTTCTGAATTACTCTTAGGGTTACTATTACATTAATACTTGGGGGAATACTGCTTTTAAAAATAATCCTAAGAAAAATAAATTTTATTTCCTAGACAGTATGTATATATTTCCAGGATATTGTTATAATTAGTGATATAAAAACTAATCTTACAGTCCCACCCTTTTTTATTAGTTGAAGTTTCCTGGAAATTACGTCTACTGAAACGATGGCCTAGCTTAGTGACTGTTAGGAGAATATTAGTGAAGCGGGAGGCTGGTGAGTGAAGTTGGTGCTGCTCCTTCACGCTACTCCGTGGCGAGCTCTGCTTCATCTAACCTTCGTGTGACTAAGCAGCCAAGTCAGCCTGCGTGCTTTAGTTTAAAAAGTAACAGGTCTGATGCCTGCATTGTAGAAGAGTCAGTGATTTACTATTTATATAAAAAGTAAAACTGGGAAGAGGGCTCACAAGGAAGTCTTTTAATTAAACACACTAATAGGATGTGCTGTGAAAGATAGTGTTTTAGAAAAGTAATGTGATACTCCCACTTATTTTAAAAAACATTCCTGTTAAGAGTACAAGAAAAATATTTACAATTAAGATAGTGACTAAGAAATTGCTGTTGTTTGATTAAAAAGAAGAAAGATATTCCAAGTCTAAAATCACGTGATAAAATGCCGTATTATCAGGGTTTGTTTCCCCCCTCATTTTCTACATTTAGCAAAAACAATGTAAACTTATTTTAGATAAGGCAAAATTCTTGAATAAATTTGAAGGTCTGACAAGTAAGAGACACCTTTAAAAGCAAAATAAAGCTACATCTAAATAATAAAGACTAAATCATTGTAATCTCTTGTTGGACTTTAATTTGACCTGAATATATTATACCCACAAATATAAATGTCATGGTAAATGATGCTCTTAAGTTAGTAATCCAAAAGAAAAATTCTAGTCTTGCATACCAGAGATTTAGAGTGATCCATCAAGGCAATTATCCCTGCCACAAAAATATTCCTATAGCCTCAACGTAAATGTGCACAGGGATAAATTTAAAATGTTAGTTGGGGTGGCAGGTGGCATAGTGGTTAAGGTGCTTGGACCCCCAGATGACCAAATGCGGTTCGAGTCTTGGACTTGGTGGCTTGTTTTCTCACCTTCCCTCTCAAACACACTCACTCTCTGGTCAAATTGAAAATAACAATAACTTTTTAAAAAATCATAGTTAAAAAAATAGGTTAAGATAAAAATTAAGTGAATTTACTATATGGATTTTATTTAGCATTTACCTATAATCTGCTCCCTAATCTCTTGTTAGAAGATACTTTTTAAATCTTTTTTCTTTTAGAATTCCTTTTCTGCTGCCATTTTTGTCCTTTCTTTTTTCAAATAATGCCAGAGAGCACATGTGCCCACTGAAGAGCATGTGAGAGAGAGAGAGAAAGTGAGAAAGCATCCCTCCGTGGGGAATAGTGACCACAGACCTTTCTCCATTTCTCCTACCTTTTGGGATATTGAGCATACCTGAAGTGTGTTTCAAGCCACAGGGTCCAGGACTTGAACCGTGTGTTCAGCCAACTGGGATCCTGCTGCCTTAACCAGTGGACCACCAGCTGGCCCTAATCCTTTTTCTTGTCCTGTTCTACCTGAGTAATAGAAGGAAGGTCACCCCACAATTAGGTTTGGGATTAATCTCTTACAGATTGTTTTCTGTTTCATGCAGAGTCAGGATCATATTGTTTCAAATTAGTAAGCGGCAGGTCTCTTGGAACAATAAGTGGATTGATAACTCCTCTCCCCAAATCAACTTATACTATATACCTTTTATATTAGATGTTTGCAGAAATTTTGTGGCCTTTCAGTGAGATCAGTAAGATTCAGTCTTTGCGATTATAGGTATACCTAGCTGTATTGAAAAGAAAAAGTGATTAACGGAATATTCTTTTAGAAAAATGGAATTGTATTTCCATAATTATAAAGACCAATATCAATCTTGGGTTTACTAAATATTCCACTGAGCGTGTATGTGTGTGTGTGTATATATATAAATAATCTATATATACACACACATACATGGTTTGTACTATAAAAAGTTCTGTAGATAACACACTCAGTATTTTTTTAATTGGTAAATTTTTGCTTTTTTGAAAAATTATGAAGTTAATTAAAAGTTAATTATAGGTAATATTTTTAATGTAAAAAAACAGATGTAGTTAAGCATACTTTTGAATAAAAGTATAATAAATAGCACATTTTCCTAAACCCTGAAAATACCAAGTTATAGTGGGAAGTGGTAGAAAGCACCATAAACTAGAAGAGAATATTTTACAAAATTCAGTGATTATTTTCAATGACGATAGATTTGTAAATATGATAAAAATATGCAAAAGCTGTTTCTGATCCTAAAGAGATTTTTCCTTTTGCTTCTGTTTAGCCCTGCCATGCATATTCACTTTATGAACATGAGTAATACTAATTTTTAACTTTAAAATGTTTTAAATTTGTGCACTTTTAGAATTTATCAGAATCTGTGCTTGAACAAAGGAAACAGAAAATTGGCTACATTTCTGCTGGTTTCACTTATCACTTTGTCAAGAGCAGTGAATGAGATTAAAACCTTGCCGTTTTATGTGTATCTTCACCACAAATAATTGGCAAAAGATTATATGAAAACATGTGCTGAAGCGTCTGTCGAAGTTCCTTGTTAGGCTTTATGTGTAATATAAACTGATTAGAATCCATATGTCACCAAATAAAAATACAAAATTAGTGGAAAATAACCAAGAAAAATGTTTTCCTGCACTGTGGACTACATAAATTTAGTATGGTGTGACTGGCCATAACTTGAAAAGTACTCAAGTTACATTTTCTTCCTTTTATTGCCAGCTTCTGATAATGAAGAAATTACCTACAGGGATGAGAAAAATGGAATCGAGTTTTTAAAAATGGATTATTATAATCCAGTTCTAAATGTTGCATTTACTTTATGTAAAGAATTCAATTTCCCTAACTGACCATTTGGTGAATATTTATACAGAATAATGTCTGCCTAGAATAAACTTAAATATGCAAGAGCCTTAAAGTAAAAAAGTGAACCTTTGACTGCCTTAAAATATGACTAGCTCTCCACTATAGGCATACGACTTCCTTTCCCTGGAATCTGTTTATTAAATAAGGCCTTAATAGTGTTCTAATGTTTCTGAAGTACAGAACTCAAAGGGTCTTGTAGAGCTTTTAATTTTGCATAATGAATGGAAATTTAGCTATTAAGTTTTAAAACTTAATTGTGCATTAGTAGATTAACACCCATTAACAGAATAATCTGGGCACACTGATATGCTATTCAGACATGACTGTTGACATCAGTAATACTTTGTGGTAGTTTAAGGGTTTTTTTTTTTTTTCCTTGTTTTATATAACAAAGTATCCAAGAAGCTGGACTTTATGATTATAACGTGACCTCCAAGGACCAGGTTGCATATTTACTGCTATGAATAAAAAATATAGTTGTACAGTTCCAAAACTGATTTGTTTTTAAGGGAATTTTTCAAGACAAGGGGCATATACAGTTTCTAGCCCATAGGCACACACATGCAAAGTGAATACAGTGAAACCTTGAGACTACTGCAATAAGAAGTCTTCAGGCCAGCGATTTAATTATTCACATTTTTACATTCACTTTGCCTTTTGAAGCAGGAATATTTTATAAAACTGAAAGAAAACTTTAAGTTGTCAAGCTGGTGCTTAAAGGTATATAAAGTTTGATTGATAACAAGTTTACTTTATTTCCAAGGAAAGGACCCTGAAGGGAGGGTGGGGGTGGGGGAATCTCTTAGGTCTGTTGATAAACCGATGTTTTGTCAAGTCTTCCAGATTTTCACTGTAAATAATCCACCTAACAATGTAACTTTGCTGTTTTCTGATAGGGAATGGGTGAATATACTAATGTATTAACTTTATTTCTTGATAAAGCAGTTTTCACCGATACTGTGAAGTCTTGACTTTCTGTCCTTTCCAGCCTTGCAAGAATATGCTGCTGGGTAATCATCTTAGACATGGAGTGCAGGTGGCCACCAAGCGATCTGGTTCTGTTCCATTTATTATGGTAGAATTTGATGGGTGCGCCAAATAAACTCTGTACATCAAATGCTTGTCTTTTCATTTTCTTTCAAGAAATAGGGATTTTAAGGTTATAATACATGTGCCTTATAAAAACTTACATCCTTGAGCCGGGCTGTGGTATAGCAGTTAAGTGCTTTCCTAGAGAGCTAGATCCCACAGGGCCAACCACAGTTTGAATCCTAGCTCCAGTGGCTTGCAAAAAGAGCTGGGAGCATGTGCCCCAAATCCTCATGGGAAGTAGAAGTGGAGGGGAAGGAGCGCAGTGTGAACATTGCCTCTCTGAGAGTTGCCCACATGCTCTCTGATGAGTGCATGTGCCTTCTGATTAAAAAAAAAAGGGCACAAACAATAATCAGATGTCATATTAACTTTACTAGACTGATAATATTGAATTACTTAATACTGAATTACTCTAAAATATGAATGTAATCAAGAACCAACCACCACTCACCCCTCACTCTCCTATCTTACCAGTTCAGGAAGGACCAGTCAAAAATACCTCTTTGCTGAGACCAGCAATTAGCGTAATAGCAAAATCGCTGGACTCCCATGTGTCAACTATGGTTCGCATCCCAGACCCGGTGGCTTAAAACTCACGCTGGGTGTGTGTGCATGCATGCCCAAGATCCCGAGAGGAGAATGGAGGAGAAGGGATTGCGGCGTGGCTATCCCCCTTGGGGGGTGAGTTCTTGCTTTCTGTCTGGCTGGGGAGCGCACGCACCCTATAGCAAAAACGTCAAAAAAAAAAAAATCACTCATTCCATTTTATTTAGTATTATTGTTTTTATTTGTTTGTTTAATTTGATAGAGAGGCTGAGAGAGGAAAAGTGAGATAGCAAGCCACCATGTCCAGGACTGGAGCTGTGGTTACCTATGTGAGAATTTAACTCCTTAACCACCATGCCACCTTTCAGCTCCCAAAGACAGAGGTTTGTTTTTTGTTTTTGTTTTTTTGTAGAATTATTTATTATTATTTTTCAGTTTGACCAAAGAAAGAGAAAGTGAGAAAGCAAACCACCAAGTCCGAGACTTGAACTGTGGTCAGCCATATGGGAGCCTAGCTTCTTTAACCACCATGCCACCTGCCAGTCCCATCTTCAATTTTAGTGAGACACCACACATCAGTCCTTACTACCAGAAGCTATAGAAAATGAGGAGGTACCTCCTAAGCATAGTAGGGAATAAAGAATTCCAAATGTTTACCTTGTAGCTAGCTCTCAGTTGTAAAATGTATAAATTCCCAGTAAGAGTCTTATCTTTAATACAGTTCTATTCCTGTTTAATTTTTTTAAACCCCCTTCAGTTTAAAATACCATTCCCTTAACTTTTGCCCAAAGAATTAGTAGGAAGATGAGGTTTCCACTGCAATTTATTGTTCATTCTTTGTACAGCTTCTTTGTGAAGCTGATTCACGTATTTAAAACACCCTCAAACATTTAACAGGTATTATCAGGCATTATCACTTTAACTGACACTTTACTAACAAAGTCACAAGTGCCTACATCACTGAAAGTCTTTCCTCTTGCTTTTTTTTAAATAACACTGATGAACGAGCGGAAGCAATTTCCCTTCTTTGTGAAGCCTATGAGTGTCAGTTGCACCTCCAATAAAAGTTCCATTGACAAAAATTCTTGGAACCTGTTGGACAAAGCAAAGACAGATTAGGTCTCACCCTAGTGGAAGAAGTGCATGATCATTTCACATAATAGACACTAACTCTGGGTATTTTTTATGAAGCACACACATACTAAGCTCTTTAACAAATTAATCTCTAAATCTTTTTTTTTTATGGAATTACCTTATTTAACGTTATTTATTTATTTTAATTTGACCAGAGGGAAAGAATGTGGGCTCACCAGAGAGAGATATTGAGAGAGAAAGGGAAAGTGAGAAAGCAAGTCGCCAGGTCAGGGACTTGAACCATGGTTGGCCATGTGGAGTTCAGCACTCCCAACTACCACACCACCTGCTGGTCCCAAATTATTTCTAAATCTTAATGTGTGGGCCAGTGCCATAGCTGAGCAGTTAAGGATCAAATCCCACATGGCCACAAGCAGTTCAAATCCTGGCCTCAGTAGTCTGGAAAAGAAAATGCACAGTGAATGCACACGTGTACCATAAATCCTGACAGGAATGGAGAAAAGGGGCTTGTGACATAACCACAACCCACTGGAGGTGTTTCCTCTCTCATCCTGTCTCTCTGGTAAGCACTCTATCAGCTTTTTAAAAAATCTTACAACCCTTGAAGTGGCTATTTTCAGCCGTATTTTGGAGAAAGACGAGACACAGGAAGGTGTGTGACATCATGATGACAGTGAACAAGAGCTGGGATTCAACCAGGACTGTCTGATTCTGAAGCCTTCCTCCTGATCACTGAGGCATGTAAAAGGTGAAAGTAAGGCAGGCTCTAATTTGGACCACGGTTTAAGTGCATCATTTTGGTAGGGGAGGAGTGCGCTAGGCAGCTTCTCCAGGGCACTTAGAAACAGGAAGGAAAGTGGGGCCGACAGGTGGTGTGGTAGGTAAGGGTGCTGGACTTCCACGTGACCAACTGTGGTTCGAGTCCCGAACTTGGCAGCTTGCTTTCTCTCTCTCTGTCCCTCTCTAGTCAAATTTAAGTAAGTAAATTTTTTTAAAAAAGGAAGGAAAGTGACAACATTGCATATAAACTTGGAGCACTATATTCCTATTAGCATCGTGATTGAGACAGACCCCAGTCTGGACTGCCCAAGTAAAGGGTAGGAGGAGACTACTCTGCGAAGAGTTCTAAGAGGACCTTAGAAATCCACAGATAGAGACTTGCAGATGGCATAATGGTTACATCATGGGACTCCCATGTAGTCTACTGTGGTTTGAGTCCCAGACCTGGTGGCTTAAATCTCATGCTGGGTTCATGTGCATGCAAGCCCAAAATCCCATGAGGAGACGAGAAGAAGGGGTTGTGGTGTGGCCGTTCCCTCTGGGGGGTGAATTCTCACTTTCTGTCTCTTTCTGTGTCTCCAGTGAGCATATGTGCCCTATAGCAGAAATCTCTCTCTAAAAAAAAAAAAAACAAAACAAAACAGACAAATGCTGACCACAGCCCATTCCCCTACCTACCAGTCCACCGATGTGTGCGGACACAGACACACAGACACACGAGACCCAGCCATGGTGGCACAACTGATAGCTTGCTGCTGTGCGACACCGGCGCCACACAGGAGGTTCACGTTCAGATCCCCAGGCGACTTGAACACGCCAGCGGTGCCCACATGCACCTGTGACACTGGCTGGCAGGGGGGCTGGGGGGGGGCAAAAAAAAAGGGGGGGGGGGGCCCAGCCCATGGCATGGAGAGACCATGTCATGGGTACCTATTTCTCTTTCTGATGACAGAAACTTGAAACAAATACAAGGCACAAGGCCCAGCCACAGCGGCGTGTGCTGTTAGGGCTCTGTGCACTGGGATCACACGGGAGGCCTGGTTCTGTTCCCAGTCCAACCTAAAGGCTGCGCAGTGGCATACTTCTGTGATCCCAGGGGCTCAGGAAGGGTGAGGCAGAAGAATCAAGAGCTTAAGGCTGGCCTGGGCCCCACAGTAGGACTCAAGAACATGGTGGGGTATGACTGTAGTCCCAGATGGGTGGCTGAGACAGGAGGCTCATGGAGTGGCAAGACCCTGTCTTCACACTCACACACACAATGACAATGAATTAACTCTGCCATTTAATATTTTAAGAATCCAGAGCTGCCTTTTTTTTTTTTTCCCTTGCTAATAGGGCACATGCGCTGTCCAGAGATGCGGAGGGGAAGTGAGAAAGGACCTCCTGGGAGGATGGTCACATCACAGTCCAGGGACTTTGGGTGTGCACACACATATGTCTGTGTTTTTCAAGCTTCCAGGCCCAGGACTTGAACTGTGCATGTGCAGTCAGCCAGGTGGGATACAGCTGCCTCAACCACCATGCAACCACCTGGTCTCATCTGCCAGTTCTTCTTTTTTTTATACTTTAATTTTTAAATTTGCTACAGGGAGTGCTCACCAGAAAGACAGAGCAAATGAGAAAGCCCTCAAGGAGGATGGTCATGCAGGAATCCCTTCTCCATTTTCCTCAGGATTTTCGGATTCACGTGCACACGCACCCAGCCTGGTTTTCAGGCCACTGCATCAAGGACTCAAACCGTACAGTCGGCCATGTGGGACCCATGCCAGCTGGCTGGCCCTATCTGCCATTTCTTTATCGATGTAAGACCCACAGATACATGTAGTTCACTTTTCCTAAGACAAGGGTCTGGGTTCCAGGTGACCTGGGTCACCACCTATGATGCGGATGCACTCACGGTTCTTTCCCCAGTCATCTTGTAAAGGGCGTCTTGAAACTGGCTTCCATATTCCAGCATGTCCAATTCCACCACTTTACAGCTAATGTTCATGTCATGGAAAAGCTTTTTTGCCATTGTACAGTAAGAGCAGGATGTTTTTGAGAAAATCACCACACAATTATCAGAAATGGTTTCCTAAAATAAAGCAAAAAAAAAAATCACTTTAATTCTAGATATTACCTTTTTGAAAGAAATCACAAGTTAGCAGGAAGGGTATAAACTTTGGAGTGTCACCATTCAGGGCTCAAACTAAGTATTATCTCTTTCCTCATCTGTTGAAGATCTTGTTTCAAGGGAATTTTATTAGGAAAAAAGATGTAAGAAATAGAAGGTACCCAGCATGGGTAATAACAATATCCAATCACAGCAGCCCTCTTCAGCAAACTCCGTGACTCAGGCCCTGTTCTCCACCCGACCCTTCCCCTGGTCACCTAAGCCTACCACAGTCCAGATACAGCCAGTTATTATCTTCACTTTGCAGACGATGATGCCGAGGCGGAGGAAGATAAAGAACTTGTCACAGTCTACGTGGGAGAGTTGGGATTTAGGCCTAACCAAAGCTGGAGGTATGGTCCAGGCACTTGATCTGCTTCCTGAATACTCTGTAGGTGTTCGGAGCTTTCTCCTTACTGTCCATAATTTCCAAAGAATGACGAGTGATTTCTTTCTTTCTTTCTTTAAAGAGATTTTTGATATAGGGTGTGTGTGCTTGCTGGAGAGAAAGAGATAGTGAGAGGGACAGTGAGAATTCACCCAAGGGGGAAGGCTATGCCACAATCCCTTCTTCATTCTCCTCTGGGATCTTGGGCACACATGCACAAGTGCCTGGCATGATTTCAAGCCATCAGATCTGGACTTGAACCACGGTCACTCAGGTGGGAGACTAGCAATGCAACCACTATGCCATCTGCTGGCCCCTTGATTTCTCTTTAAAACATAACATTTCACTGACCCAGGTATAAACAGCTGACCCTCCACCTCCGTCCTTTCTATACATCCTTACAGTGCAGAAGCTGTTGTTACTGTGTTGATAAAGTATTCATACACCGATGGTTCTGAAAAAGCTACTTCCCGAATGCCAATTCCATGGGTTTGAGACAGAGGTTAGAACTGTACTGTATTTTTAAAAACCTTCCCAGGTGATTCTTATATTGGCCGGGTTTGGAAATGACTTTCCTAGTCTTTACCACGACCATGAGATCTGCTAGCATCTGTCCAACCTGTGAAGTTCGTTTGTTTGATTTCTTTAATTTGACATAAGGCATACGTATGTGTGCACATGGGAGAGAAAGAAAGCATCTCCTCACAGGACCCAGCACCCTGCAATCCCTTCCCTTCCATCTCTCCCCGCTGTTGGGATTCTCAGTATGCATGCACACATGCTGCTGTGTTTTTCAGGGGACTCAAACCAGGCGGCTGGGCATGTGAGATCAACCGCCCTTAATCACCAGGCCATAGGCTAGCCCTGTTTCTTTTTTCTAAATAGTGCATATAGTCAGGTCTCTAAAGAAATTTTGAGTGGATGGGTCCAGCACCCAGGCATCTGCCTGTGTTGTTCTCATGTGGTGGGTCCTAATTAGCACCTTCAAGACGAAGACTGAAAAAACAGACCCAGACAAAGTGCCTCAGAACTTAGACCCACCCTTGGGTGTCAGAAGGGCCCTGAGTTATAGCCTAGCTGTCTGCAAGCTGGCTTACTTTTATGCTTTCTCTTCTATTTACTCATAATATGAGAAGACTTCGAAGGCTCCATGAAAAAATAGAATTAAAGCACAAGTGTATTTTGGTGCAAAAGATTTTTGAAACCCATGCATCTTTTCATAATACATAATCTACATGAACTTCTTAAAGAAGTATTTGGCAGGACCAGCAGTTGGCATAATTACTATGTCACTGGACTCCTATGTAGTCGAGTCCTGGCCCCAGTGGCTTAAACTCACACTGGGTGCATGTGTGTGTGCACAAGGTCCCAAGAGGAGAATGGAGGAGAAGGGATTGCGGCATGGTCATCCTCTCTGGGGGGTGATTTCTCGCTTTCTGTCTCTCTGTCTCTTTTTCGGGCGAGTGCATGCACCTTATAGCAAAAACCTCTCCATAAAAAAAGAAGTATTTGGTATAAAACATTTACCTCCTGGACAGCCAGTCAGATCAGAGATGTATTAATGAATCCATTTTACAGATAACAAAACAGGCTGAGAGCTCAAAACACTGGGATTTGATGCCACCCATCAGAACACACAAGCCAGCACCCTTCCCTCCACCATGCTGCCTTGGGTTACAGGGACATGGAGACCATTGTTTAAGATGTGCATCCTGATGTGTGACAGAAACACTGATGAAGAGATCCCAAGGTGACCTGAAACTCAAGACAGGTGTCAGGGTTTCTGAGCCCTCTTCTCTCCTTTTCTCAGGTTCATCATTTATTTTTTTTTTTTTTTTTGGAGGTTTTTGCTATAGGGCGCTTGAGCTTGCCAGACAGAGAGAGAGAGAGACAGAAAGCGAGAAATCAGCCCCCAGAGGGGGGAGAGGGGATGGCCACGCCGCAATCCCTTCTCCTCTACTCTCCTCTTGGGATCTTGGGCACACACGCACACGTGCCCGGTGTGACTTTTAAGCCACAAGGTCCAGGATGCAAACCACGGTCGACTACAAGGGAGTTCAGTGACATAGCCATTATGCTAACTGCTGGTCCCTCAGGTTCATCTTTGTTAGATATCTCATGCTGCTGTATTTTTCTTTTAAAAGAGGTAATCCTCTCACTTGTTTCCAGCATTACTGTTACAATCAACAGCTCTAAGTTAGAAATCAATTAAAAGAGGAAATTTTTCTGGTTATGCTGGTGGTGGGTGGTGACAGAAAGAGAGAAAGATGGGTGTTATCGTGTAGACTGCAAGGGAAGAAAAACATATACAGGAGAGAGGTCTTCTGAGGCAGAATTAAGTAAGCTTCCCACTGGAAGAGAGAGGAAAGTGACGCAGCAGCAATAGTACCCCCAGAGGCTCATGGAGGAGTAACTACCACACAGCAGGGCCTATGGGAAGGATGCTGCCCAACACGGCCGAGGCCAAACTCAAATAGCAACCGTGGCTGAGAGCGGGCTGACTGGCACAGACAGGAGGTGCACATGATGAAGAGGAACGGTCAGTCTCAGACGAACTGTGGAGCGAAGACTCCATTAAAAATAAACCTCAGGGGCAAGTGGTGCAGCAGTAACACAAGTGGACCTCGTGGGCAAAGTCCTGGATTTGTGTCCTAGAACTTCCTGAGCATACCAGGCACGTGGCCTGCCGTCTAGGCTGGCCGAGACTGGGGTTGGACTGCGGTGTGAGGTCCCTACCAGGGGTGACTCTCTCTCTCTCTCTCTCTCTCACACACACAGAAAAATAAATAAACGGCCAGCCCATGCCATGGTGGTTAAGGTGGCTGGATCCCACATAGCCAACCATGCAGTTCAAGTCCCGGACTTGGTATCTTGGGAAACACACCAAAGCACAAGTGCATGCGTGCTCAAGATCCTAAAAGGAGCGAGAAATGAAGAAGGGATTGCTGCATGATCAGGACCCAAGGGCATGCTTTCTTAATTTTTCTTTCTTTCTTCTGGCAAGCGAGAGTGCCCTCTGGCAAAAATTTTTTTAATTCTCATGAATTTTTATTACCAAAAGGACTTCTTTGTCACATGGATGATTTTGAGAGCAGATTTAAAAATAAATATTAGTGGGGCCAGCAGGAGGTATAGTGATTGGGCCACTGGATGTCCACATGGCCAACTATGGTTCAAGCCCTGGACCTGGCAGCTTGCTTTCTCACTTTCTTTCTCTCTCTCTCTCCTCTCCCCGGTAAGCACATGTGCCTTGTACCGATTTTTTAAAAAGATGACAATAATGATTAGTGAAATAATAAACAAATGAGTTTAGTCATTCACATGCAGAACTTTGTCAAGTCTGGAGATCTAGTGAGCACAATGATGTGTCCCACACGACTCGTTTTCCAGAGGGAAGCTCTGCCTCCCTGCGTCACTCACTTGGATCTGGGTCGCAGGGGCACTTGCTGACTTCCCCACGGAGGACGAGGTGTTGCTCCCCATCCTAAGGGAATTAAAAGGGCCATACCAGTTAGAGATCATTCATCACGAGTTCCATCTGAAGAAAACCTTACATATTAGGTTGTCAGAAAAGTCTCGAAATATTTTTGCATAGAAAGATAAGTCATGATTTCTTCCAACAACCCAATACAAATATATCCAAACTTACAAAATAGAAAAAAAAAAAAAAAAAGGCGCTTTTGGGCCAGCAGGTGGCATGGTGGTTAAGGTGCTGAAATTCCCACATGGCTGGCCATGGTTTGAGTCCTGGACCTGGCAGCTTGCTTTCTCACTCTCCCTCTCTCTGTCTTTCTCTGGCAAAACTCATGTGAAAAAATAATATTAATAATAAATAAATAATTCTTTTAAAAAAAAAAAAGCTTTTACTTGTTATCAGTACAAAATATCAGTTCACAAAGTATTTACCAAAACCAAATGACCTAACCTAACTTGCCTTCCAGGGCCCTTCATTCTCTGAGAAAATCCTCTACTGGGTTTAAAGACCGTTACACTGGTATTTATGACCATCATATTTTAAATACTCTGTCCTAGTGACTGGCCACATGACCTGATCATTGGTTGGAAAATGGAGTTTTTTCAGGGCCAGCAGGTGGCATGGAGGTTAAGGCACTGGACTCCCACATGGCTAACCGTGGTTCAAGTCCCAGACAGAACTGTTTGCTTTCTCACTTCCTCTCTCTCTGTCACGCTCTGGTGAACACACATGCCCTATAGCAAATTCAATTAATAATAATAATAAATAAAATGAAATAATTCTTAAAAAGAAAAATAAGATTTTTCATTTACTTACTAAAACATGCCAAAATTCCAAACACATTTTGAAGCAGGGAACCTACAGGCATGATGGGGCCCTGTTAAGGGTACCTGTCTCTCTCTGTCATGAAAGATTTTAGGATGGGACCAACAGCTAGCATAATGGCTATGTCGCTGGACTCCCACGTAGTCGACCGCGGTTTGAGTCCCGGATCCGGTGGCTTAAACTCACGCCAGGTGCGTGTGCGTGTGTGCCCAAGATCCCAAGAGGAGAATGGAGGAGAAGGGATTGCAGCGTGGCCATCTCCCCTGGGGGGTGATTTCTCGCTTTCTGTCTCTCTGTCTCTCTCAGTCTGTCTGGCGAGCGTATGCGCCCTATAGCAAAAACCTCTCAAAAAAAATTTTTTTAGGATTATTTATTTTATTTATTCATTCATTTATTTTAATTTGACCAGAGAGAGAGAGAGAGGGAAAATGAGAAAGCAAGCCACCAGGTCCAGGACTTGAACCGTGGTCAGCCATGTGGGAGTGTCCAGTGCCCTAACCACCATCCTGCTGGTCCTCAAGAAAGATATATTAAATATATATCATATATATATGAAAAAGAAAAAGAGAAAAAGGCAGGCAGGCTGAGTTCCTGAAGCCTAAACCAGAAAAGATTAGTTGTCCTGGCCTGGACCAAAGAGGAGCTTTGGACGAAAAAATCAGCAATCTACTCAGTTTATCCACCAAGAAAAGAAATTATTTTCATTTAAAGTCTGGCTTGAATCTTCATCCCCAAACCCTCCACCACAGCATTTACTGAAGCAGGAGCTCCAAGAGAAGCCTGACAGTCTCTCTCTGGGCACTGACAGGACGTAGGGGGTGCACTCTGAAATATCACCTCTTCCCTGCCAAATACAGGAGAGTTTCTGAACCCGGGAGGTGGGCAAGCTGCAGCCCCAGCTACTGGGCCATGATCCTGGCCATGATCCTGCGGCCAGCCTGGCAACATGGCCGGACCCTGTCTCTTGCAACAGAGCGAGGATGTGAAAGGCACCCTTCTCCTTCTAATTCTAGGGGAGCTTGGTAAGTTTTCCCCTATCAAGGAGAGGGCCACCAGGGAGGAGGATGGACGTGTACAGTCAACCCCTCACTTCAACACCGAAGCAGCACCAGTGAGTCATGCTACATTCCTAGAGCAGGTGCCACGCAGCACATCCCGTATACCCCAGGGATCTGTATCAGGAAGATACCGGGGCCTCAGGATCTGTCAGTCAAGCAGTTAACACCGCGTGACTAGCCCCTGCAGAAGGGGGTCTCCAGCCTGGAGAGAGTTCCCCGAGTCCTGCCTAGCCGGCAGGAGCTCCCGGGTCAGTAGTTAGGGAGAAGCCCAGGCTAAGGGATGGAGCATGGCGACAGGAGCTTCGCGGACGTCCAGAACCAGTAGGCCGGGGTCTTGCAGGCTGGGCGGGCAGCTCAGGGCGTTCGAGGCACTGAAGCGCCAGAAGCGCTGTCCTGGGACTAGCCAGAGGCCACAGCAACACGGATAAGCCACAGTCCCCAGGTGCAAAGCCTTGGCCACTGAACAGGAATCTTTACCTTCGCTTCCCGCCGCAGGGCTGCAGGGTTCCCACATAAAAATGCGGGCGCCCGACTAATGTGATCTCAGATGAACAGCGAATAGCCGTTTCATTTGAAGTATGTCCAGTGCAAAAGACATGACGTACTTGGCCTAAAAAGCATACGTCGTCTGAAACCTGTTTGTTTGGGCGTCTGGGATTTTCTCCAGCAGCCCACAGTGGGGTGCCCCACTCGATCCCGACCATCGCAGCGCCCCGAGTCCGCACTACCGAAAGCACCGTCCTCTTCCCGTCAGTTCAGGGCGCCCGCAGCCCTCCGAGGGGCCTGGGCGGGTCGGCACCCGGCGGCTCGGCTC